TGGGTAGGTAGGTATATCAAAAACTTATATACTGCAGTAGAAGTCCATATTGTCTCAAAGTATAGTAAAAAATTTTATTTAGCAAAAAATACTCCTTACATTTTTGATATTGGAACTTCATCCTCAAAAGCTGATGATAATATTTCATTGAACTATAGCGAACCGACTTCGAATTTTGTCAAGAATTCTCGATTCTATGAGTTCTCAATGTTTCATTGAAGGTGCTTGTTCCTTCTTCTGTCATCGCCTACTATATGAACGTTTCGTCATTCCATTGTACCAGGTGATTCAACAGGGATGACGAGATTTTGTATCTGAGGAGCTAAGAATTTTGCCAACAAGGCCTGTATCAAGAAAGGAATGTTTGACGAATGAAATAAAAAATCAAACGTCATTCTGAGGTTCGTACCGCCCTCGCAAAGGGGCGTGTTTTATAGACTATTAGTTTCTGAGATACAGTACCTCGCCACCCTTATTGAATCACCTGGTACAGTCAGATACAAAGAAAATATCCCACATGTGCGGTGATGGCATATCTAGTCACATCTGCGATAATCATATCCAACCGCAACATGTTCTTTGCATTTGAGTGTACTTCCCAATGAACCCGGTATATTTTTACTCTTCCCAATAGACAATCACATTGTTAGTACAATGTCGTCTCATTTCTCACTAATCATCATTAAACAAATTTTCAATCTAGGGTGTCATCAGAAGTTATATGATATTTAACGTGTATGTCAAATATCGACTGTCTGGTATATAATGATAATATAATAATAAACTCTGTTCTCCTTTCGATATTCTCAGAAACCATATGAAAATATTCGAGTTAACAGAACAGTGAAATATCATTGCATTCTTGGGTTAAATAATCTTCATTAAGGGAGTAGTAACATGATGATGTCAAAAATTCATTGAAATTGGTTTTGAAGCAGTTAATCTTCACGATATTCTCCAAATTTTTGGCAGTCTATTGAAAAGCTTTAGTGCTGAAGAATGTGGTTTGGCAAAACGTACATGATTATCATTTTCCCAGTGCCAGAATTTTGCATTCCTTGAGAATCGATCTGAAAGAAGTTCTCCTGGGCATATTGAATATACATCGTGATATCGACTTTCGTACTACCAACACGTCGTTCACTGCTACTGAATTACCTCACAAAACATACTGCATATCTCAGTCGAGAGTCTACTTGAGCAAAGTCAAAGTTGAAAAAGTTGTTGTTTATTCAATGAGAATCTCATATTTCCCAATAAAAATGTGAGAGATGATACACCTAAAAATGTGACAGATTTCTTTTGTTCAAGATTTGCATTATCATCGACCAGATTTATAGGTCCTGCACTGTCTTGTCATGTATAAAAACTCACCAAGTATCAAATTGTTATGCCCTCATCAGATATGGTAATGAGCCACCTCTCCGATATTTGAAGAAATTGATTTCACATGATTGAAATTCGTTTTATTTCGCACTATAAAACAGCACGATGTAATTAATCTTAGACAAAAATATATGGATTTCTGAATTCTTTTGAAATCAGTACAGTGAAGAATACAAGAATAACTTTCATTGCGCGTCTAAGAAGAATAATTCGAAAGAACTAATTAGGCAATATTATTACATGAACGGAAGAATGTTTATTTTGAATTGAGTGCAGCATCATTAGCATAAACAAATTTATAGAATAAGTAGGTACGTTACCTTTGTAAAACGAATTCACTGGTCACTTGGGAACGAAGCAGGTTAATATCACAGGACCGAATTGAGAGACAAAAATGACGATGATCAGAATTTTCAGATAATTCAGTAAAGAGGGGCTGACTTTAATCTGATTGGCTCGAAAGATCAATAAATTATTATTCAGCCCAAATACGTACAGGAAAGAGCATGTAATTGTCAATTTTGTTGATATTCCAAAGTTACCGGAAAACAACAAACAATTTCGGACATTTATGGCCATAATCTTCAACAGTTTCTTCGTAGAATAATATCTATCTGCTGATGACGGATTCTTGATAGATCCGAAACAAGTTCTTCCTCCCATAATAATCATAATATTGTCACGATAGAAACCAAAAATATTTAATCATAGCTACTATATTCGAAATTAAATTAATTCAAATGAAGATTTCATTAGTGAAGTTCATTATTCATTTTTTCAATGTGTTTTTCTGAAGGTACTTATAGGACTAACAACCCAGAATATAAATTCTATTCTGACAATGTCAAAATATCTATGACATATAAGTACTTTCACCTCATCCTCATTTTTTCGTGAGATGGCAGTTTCATCAGCCAATAAAGCAAAACAAGCAATTGGTGCATTACTGCCCATAATGGCAAAGAACAAAATTAATTCATGACAAGGCAGAATGAAACTTTGTGAAACAACAATTCTGAGTGTGATGACGAGTTGTATTCCTGTATGGGGGTTGAAATATCATGACATCCTTGAAAGAATACAAGTGGATTTCTTCAAAAGGCTCTTGCTACTTCCACTTACCCTTATAGCACACAACGTCCTAGGGACGTCCCTATTTGGTACAATTCACGTCCGAATTTCCCGAACCAAGAATAAGTGTCCTTGGGACGTCCCATCCCGTACATCTCATGCGATGTCATCATTCCAAATGTCCTAGAAATAGAATCTCTCAGACGTCTCACGTGGTACATATTGTAGAATGTCCATGCAAGGACGTCGTTGGCATGTCCCTGATGGGATATGATTTAAAACGTTCCTTTAGGGACATCCATCGGATGTCCGGATTAGTAGATATTCTGGCATGTCTTCAAATCTTATATAATGTCCCTTCTAGACAAACATGAAATGTCCCTGATGGTATATTCCTTCAAATATCTCTGCACAGACGCCCTTAATATTTCCAGGATCGTATATAACAATCGAAATGTCCCTTAGGGACATCCTTCGAATGTCCCTTAGGGATATCCACCGGATGTCCCAATTGGTACATGAACTGTTCTCTCCCAATGTCCTAGGAATAACGTCCTATGGACGTCCCAGTCGGTACTTTCTATATGTTGTCCCTGCGAGGTCGTTAACTTACACCTCGCCGACGAATCATTGGTCGTAGGGTATAAGTACTCCTCGTCAATGTCCTTCACGTGAGTCCATTGGACATCCTTGGGAAACTTTTTGGGGACCTTCTACGGACCATCAACTCAACTGGATGTCCTAATCAGTTATGCAAGATCTGGTACTAGAGGGGCCCAGAAAAATTCAAATTTAAGACTAATTCGTAGGTCCCTGGGACATCCTATGGACATCCAATTGATATCCCTCAGCGTTGCTGATAGGTTGTCCTATATGGATGTCCTATGGATGTCCTAAGGATGTCCTCTGTAGTGCTTGATGAGGAATACTGTAGGATATAGGTATTCGATAGTTGTCCCAGGGACATCCCTCAAGGACGTCCCTAGTTGGTCCTCAGGTGGGACATTTGTGCGTTCCACAGACGTCCAATGGACGTCCACGGTACCAAATTCGAACGTCCCATGGACGTCCTGAATGTCCCGACAGGACGTCCTAAGGATATCCATGAGACATAAGTGTGTTATTAGGGTAGTTCACCAGATGATATCGTCAGGCTTGAAACTGAAAAAATCAAGTTTCTATATAATTATCATCCTCAAATTTGCTCTGAACTGGATCATTAAAATTCTTGAAATGGACATCCGTTGCCTTCCAAAATTGTGTTTTCTGAGGCAAATGTCACAAACGAATATCAACCCTAAGTTTCTGATTGAAATTAACCCTCACTGTTTGAGAACCCAAAAAACTCATTTAACATCTAAATATTATAGTAAACTCCATGGACAAGATCGCCCCCTTCTGCAGAGATCCGAATTTCTGCTATTTTATAAACAGCTAACTGTCACAAAGGCTGAGGCTAACTATCTACATTTCCATTTGCCTATTCAGATCATTCGGACAATATCGCAGTTAAGAATATGTAATAAATATTCCATCAAATTCACCTATAATGGAAGCTCATATAAAATGAATCCCAATGAGTTATGTTCAATTTGTAATTTGAATTCTGCAGAAACGTTGCAGCATATTTTGTTCGATTGTCCGATGTACAATAGTTTCATATTACCAAACGGTGATCATCTCCCGAGTAGCCAATCGTTGATTGACTTCATCGACAATCTTACTCCTCTCAAATGCAAAAATATCGCCAACTATATATGGAATATACTTAAAACCAGAGCATTTTCAAGAAACGAGTAGCACATTGTGATATCATCAACTTTGCCTCATTTTCTTTTTCTTTCTCTCTGTTCGTATTTTTGTTATTAATCAAAACTGTTTATATTTGCATATATGTATAGTGACAATTATTACAATTCGCATTGTACACATTTCCATGTAAAGTGTTCATCAGAAATAACCGAATCCTTGCTATAGGACTGTCATGTCTTTAAAAGCAATAAAGAATCTATTTATCTATCTATTAATTTTTTCATCGTGTAACATTCGATTAAAGAAAATGCGTATAATGTTTCACTCACGTTGGTAGCTCAGTTAACCGGAATGAAATACTCGCATATGGAGTAAAACGCTGACTATGTCAAGATATTCTAAATAAATATCGAACAGCCGATAAGGCAAGGGGACAGTTTGGATCTGATCAGCCAGCACTCACTATCGTTCATCCCCTGCGACTTTTAGAGATAATTTTGTGAGTACTTACGTATCTATCTTCATGGTGCCAAGTTATGTAATGATTCTCTGTATTGCGAAGTCGGATGTACGTTAGTTTTGATCCTCGTTGGTCTGAAGTTTACTAATGAAATCTTTTCTTGAATCAATATAATTTCCTATATATAGTAGCTATGATGGAATATTTCTGGTTCCTATCCTGACAATATCAAAAAATGTTGTGGAGGCAACTTGGAGTATTTTTTGCTGAATGATATCAATAATTCTAAAAAGTAATTGTAAAATCACAGACACACTTCAAATCAGATTAATCAGCCTTTTTTGATCATGCACACACAACAGGATGGTAGTTCGAAGTCATCGAACACTGGTTTGTCCATATTGTCAGAAACAGCCATCAGGCGTCTCACGGCATACTTCTGCTTGCAAGTCGTGATGTAACCATCTGGAAAACCATTGGCTTGGCTGCATTGCCCACCATCTCTGTAATGGAAAAATATTTGTATACACTACAGGGTGTTCGATTTTCATGAATACTCCCTTATATCTCAGTTGTTGATGATGCGTTTCTATTGAAATTTTTCATATACTACAGGGTGTTTGTGTTTCAGGAACACTCCCTAATATCCCAGTTATTGATAATGCGATTCTATTGAAATTTTAGTGGTGATTGTTTATTGTATATATTTATTCATCATTGGCGTGCGATGTTGAGGGGCACCAAAAATGCCATTATTCGAGGAGAGGATATGTACGAAGGCTAATTTTTTTCAAGTTCTGGTTCCCACGAGAAGGGATAAGAATTAATTTATTCAATCACAATCATAACACACATTTTACTAACCTCAAATTAGTTAAGCAAGTTGATAACATTAAAAAACTAGACGCATATATGGAAGCTTAGAGATATTTAAAAATAGTATATGGAGTAATGAATATGGATAATGGACCTATTCCATATAGCCCTCTATATAGTCTAGTAATATAAAAAATTGGATTAACATGTGAATTCAACCATGACAAACATCAACTTGACGGTTAGTATTTTTCACAGTTGGGTGAACATATACCTATAGTATATAAGCAGCACACTAGAATAGAATATTTAGTTTTAATCTTCTCCTGAAGATGCTGACATAATTAGCGAAACACGTGTCGGTTTGGTGAGTGGTAAAACAGTGTACTGTACTTCACTTTATATTCCAAAACCGACGCCTGAGCAAAACAGATACTTGCTTGATTTCGATTACCACGTCAAAGTCATGAAAGACATCTTGATGTTCACTCCACCCTACATTTCCGGGTTGCTGGGATACAAACACTAGCAGTCTTGAATGGATAGTGTTTATGTCAGTGAAGCAAGTGCCAAGATCGTGATAGAACTTCAAATGCGAGTGCTGACACAGGTAGTGGTCATCAGAACTGAAAGCAGATACTCTACAAAGAATATACGAAGATGCTGTTGAACAATGCCAAACACGTAGTTACACAATACAAATCAATGCCCTGTTGGGTTGGCACATTATCATCGAAATTGAGTTGAAATTCTGAGGTCTTCTCATCTTTTTCCGTTTCATTAATGAATCTCTCGATTCAAGCGAAACTACCTGTTCCATGGATTAAAAGTCATCCTTCGACTTATTGCTCTATGTTTCTTTTTAAATTTGTTCCTGGATGTAAGTAGACAAATCGATTACTACTAGCAGTGGCTCATAAAGAATCCCAAGCTGTTTGAGTCGTACATTTCTTCAAACGTTTGCTGCATCAAATTATTATATATGGGGAAGTGCAATATTCATAGGCTATATCAAATTGATAAGTTCGGTACATTCCTTGAATGAATCAACATGATTTGATTCTGATGTAATCAAATTATTTGTTGGCGGTTCAATACGCAAGCTGTTTTTGATATTTGGAGTTCGAATCCAGATTTAGAAACAGATGCTGATGGAAGCTCTGTTGCCCGTGTTGTGTCATAGGATAAAATTGTCGACAATGTCCATTATGAGTGTTTTGTTCTGTATATCGCTACTTCTTTAAGTTCGGAATCACTTTTCCAGAAGTCGAAACTTGTGGCGAGTTAGGAAGAGCGGGACCTACAGCTCACGATGGAATTCGAACAACTCCTAGGACACTGAAGTGCTACCAGTATTATAAACAATAAAAATTGGAAGCCAAGCCGGATTTGAACCATTGCATTTGTATCTGATTTCAGTTTCGATCACTATCTCAGCACTCGCATTCCAATTCTGACCACGACCTTGGCACTCGCTCAGGCAATCAATCAGGATGTTGTCATTTTGACTATGCGTGAAAACGGTACCCTTAGGGAATTTCCTATCAGTAGTTGAAGAGGAATGGCATAACCAGAACAAAATATCTGCAAAAGCAATCAATTTGCTCAACTAAATAGATTGATTTCGATCAAAAAACTTCATTAGATCCAATTGTCGAGAACCTGCCTGAAACATATAAAAATTTGGCTGTCAGAGTACTGCCGTACTGATTCGTATCGAATAGGTTTGTTGATTTACAGTAGGTACTCGGATATCTTGTAACTGCTAAAAAATCGGCGAATAGCTGCTGAAAAGTTTTATGTACTCTGAATATATCAGTTAGTTGTCATTAATAGATCGTGTGTATCGTGTATCGGTCTGTTCTTGAAGAAAATAATGTGTTTGAATCAAATGAAGCTTCACTCATTTACTGAAGAAACCAAATAGGTGAGAAACATAATCAAAACTTATTACTAATATATGACTTTGAATAATATTGCATCATTGACTCATGTAACTGATGCTCTTTCACTGATTATGAATTATATTATTTTGTATTGCAAAGTTCCTACACGAGAATTCTACAATAAATAGGCCAAACTTCAACTGATAGAAACAGTTAGTTCCTTCAGGAACAGTCCGTCCTTCCAGCAGTTGTGTACAGGCTGGTTCGAATCCATTGTTCGCAGTATGGTATCTTGATGATTTTCGCACTGAAAAAAACGAGACACACATCCGCATATCCTTATTCTTGACCCTGAAATATTGAAACCGAATCTTGAAACACCCTGCATTATAGGAGGCAAGCAGTAAAGTAGTCCATTATATTCGAGGTAAGCGAGAGCAAAATTTATTCGAGAAAATCACTCACTTCACACACGTTTCATATACAACCCCCTGTTTGTATTCATCGACGTTCACCAAGATTTTTGCGATGTTCTGTGTATTCGTAGCGCTTTTGGGGAATTTTGTATAGGTCCTTGTTGGGCAAAGAGGATCTCCATCTTCTCCGAATCTGTTGCTGAAACTGAAACGATAGTATCGATTATATATAATCATATCAATGTTTGATAATGATGTACAATGGAAAACGACACACTCAAACTTGTTCGACCACAAATTAATATTCAGAATTCATCTGTGTTAAGTTTTCTGAGAATTGCAAAACTTGGCGTTCGTGCGGAAATCACTTGGAAGATCACCTTTGAATTATGAATTCGTATTCACCATTTTGAAACTTCTGCAGATTGTTTGGAAATTCTGTGCCAAAAAACCCTTGACAAAACGATTTTCTGACCAGTCAGATTTGGCAAAATATTTTGGTACCCAGTTAACACAGGATATCCTATGGATATCCATATTATGTTCATTCTTGGTCCATATATATGGACATGAACTCTATATAGACATCCAATTGATGTCTATCGACCACTAGAACAATGATCATCCTTCAAGGAACTATCACTGAACATCCAGTTTTGGACCATACTGGGCGAGAAGATTCAATTGAATGATGAACGTCCATTGGACTTTCTATGTAGGTACATCTTTTGTTGAAATCGCAATATATATACCATTTGCCAATCGATTAATTCCTCACGCGACTCTGTGCCGCTCTAGTTTTCGAAAAAGGTTTTTTGTTTTCATTTCCTCTATATCATGCCAAACACCATCACAACAATGCTAGTATTCAATCCTTCTCATCTGGTTCATCTCGGAGAATATTTGTTGTGAGAAAGCAGAACTCATTCGCCAGGACTCTGAGCATAAACAAAACTCATTTTTGGCTTATATCAGCAGATTGCTATTATTTATACTCTCTTAAAATGTTGTTTTGTCCCATGTATTGGTACAATGATATTGACAGATGAAGTACTAGATAAATGAATTTGAGGTGTGCTTGATAAGCCAATGGCCGCGGGTTCGAATCCCGCACGCTATATTTTTTTTCCACTCTCAAGATATGTCCATCACCTGATGGATCGGAATGAACATCTATTGTTTATCCAATTATGTGGCAAATGGATATCCAATGGATATACATTGGATGTCATTCACGACATAATAGGATGTTAAGTGAATATTTGAATTATTCACCATGGACATCTATCGCACATCCATTGTAAGTGTGTATTATAATATTGATGGTATGCTGATTTTTGGAGTAAAGAGGCAGCATAGGATTTGTGCGGATCGGTCGAATCACTCCACTTTTTTGCAATATTGACATTCACATCATCAAAAAAGGATCGATTCGGAGTGGCAGAAACCTGAATTCTATAATAGTTGGTGTATCACTCAGTGCCGAGAGAGAGAGAGAGAAAACATTTCAAATCTTGACTAGTAAACACTAGTAAACAACTTGTCCTTCAATTTATTTTTCTGTCGTTGTTTCCAATAATTTATGCATATTTGTTCACTGAAATCTGAGAATGTCGAGAGTTCATTTTGATACTACAGTACCATTTTCAAACATTGAAATTGCACTGAGAATGTATTTGGTTTTGATTGTATCAAATTGCACTGGAGGGCGCTCATTTTCAAAAATGAATATTACAGAAAATATTCTCAGAACTCCGATAGGACAGAATCGTCTTTCAACGCCATTATCAAAGATATTTTCTCGAAAAAAGCTTGCAAGGTTTTATTCGTCAACGCTAAAATTTGATTTCAGATAATTCTTGTTCTTGACTATATGTATTCATAATGAGCGTGCAATACTCTACCAGCAGACTCAACGATTAAAAAAAATAAAAAAAAGTTTCGATGAACATAGGTCGAATGATGTGCCATAAGCGAGCTACAGCCCTCTAAAAGTGTTTGTGTAGGGATGATTTTCATTTTATATCTTCGAATCTGTTGATAGCAAAAACATCAAATTGTGCAAATCGTCCAATCTTTTTTCATCTGATGATATGGAATAATATTAATTTCAAAATTTCATCAAGAAATGGATCTAACTGTTGGGGGTGAAAAGTACAATCACCCCAACTTTTTTGAGTACTGTTTTTTGCAACTTCAGCATGTAATCATACAACTTTGAAGCCATTTGCCTATAAAAGATTCTCCTGTTCAACTGTCGATAGAAAGCACCGTTCTTCATTGAGATAGATTTGAAAACTACTCAACATGTCTAAATTTTTATAATGAAATAACAAAATTGAAATGTGAGCGTAGGCTCTGAAAATAAAAACGACCACTATGTATGAGAAGAAATAATCAAGGCTGGTGCCAGATTCATGACAGAAGGTGTACGCCTCTGAAGTAGACACGCGAGAGGAGCTCCTGAAATGAAATTTGAATAAAACAATTTCAAAAATTCTGCGTGCTTGTCGAAGTCGTCGGGCTTGACTATGCGTTCAACAAAATGAAAGACACTGTGAACAATTACTTGAGTGAAAAAAAATCCGCTCAGAATTTAGTATTATTTTCACAAATCAAATGCATTAACGAACCTTCTGTCACTTACTGCATGAGTTTGTCACCTGTCTTCATCATTTTTTCACAAACATAGTGGTCGTGTTTCATGGTCTACGTTCAAACTTCAGATGTTTCTAATTCCATCATTAATTCTCATGACACGGAGAGTAATTCTCAAGAAGATTATACTCAAGAACAGTTCTTTCTATCAAGGTTCAACAAGTGATCATGCAAAAGGCTTCAAAGTGTCATAATCCTTTGCGAAAATTGCGAAAAATCCGCAAGCGAGAAAGTTTGGGTGATTTTACCACCCACCCCCTACAGTTCGACTCATTTCTGGATAAAATTCTGAAATTATCAGAATCGCATATAAGTCATTTGATTATTGGTTGACTTGCAGAATTTCATGATTTTTCTATCAACAGTTCCGAAGATATAAAATAGCAACCATCTTCAGTGTACCACTTTCAGCAGAATGAAGCTTACTTATGAAACATTCTTTGACCTATGTTTATATGTTTCTTCTTATTTTCATCGTGAAATCTGCTAGTGGAGAATTGCATGCTGAATATGGGACTCCCTGTATATGTTGAAATGATTCAACTTCGCAAGAAATTATTGACAGAAAAAATCCGTACTTTTTTAAAAATGATAAGAGGCCAAGAGGCCTCCACTCTTTTGTTGCCCTATCAGGGCCTCCAGACCTCTAAATCGGGCTCTGGTTGTTCTCGCCTATGAGTGACATTCGAAACTTGTGAAGATTTCCTAACATCAGTTCCCTTACTATAAGTAGATGTTACCTGATTGAGGGAATCGCCATTTGATCGAAATACTGTTTGAGAACTTCTGAGCGACTGATAAAGTTCTTGATTTTGCCTTCTGGATAATTCTCCACTTCTTCGCAGAGGCCGTAAGGACAGTTTTTCGACTTTCCTGTTGTGTTATTCGTCACTATATCGTCTGATGGAAAAACCATAGTGTTGGCATCATGCTGCGCTGTAAAAATTCATTATGTAGGTGACTAGCTCAAAATATAAAATTCCACGTGATTGTGAACAAAATATAGTTCGGTCATCTTCCGTTCATTCAGGAGTCACTCTTACATTTTCTTTTCGAACGAAACCTTGTGATGTGAGAGTAGAGTAGAGTAGAGTTCTATTGACTTCTTGATGTACATATTCATACATTTGTAGCAAGTCCAAAATGATTCCATTTTGGAGAAAAGAATGTGAAATTGATAATTTACAATAAAAGACAAGACACATAAAATCAAAGACGAATAATATACAATCAACAGCAAAAACAAAATACACATTCACGTTTTCCTCAAGAGTGGATGTTCGGCAAGTGTGTTCCTTGTATCAAAATTGTGGCCACTAACGTGAGCCAGATATTCTGTAATCGAGTAGAAGCATTTTTTTTCGAAATAATCTTTGATAACTCTCTCGAAATAAAACGTATTTATAGTTTCAATTCTGGCAGGAAGAACATTATATAATCTGTGATCATGAGAATTTTTTTGTGATTTGCTGAGTTTGTAACGCTGAGGTCTAATAAGAACACTGTTGCGTGTATTGTGATTATATAAACTGGAAAAGCTGCTTAGGAAGCAGGGGAGCTTTTTTGTGAATCTCTACTATACTCGTATAAATATACATTGAAGGTACTGACATTATTTTGTGATTCATGAATGACTCACGACACGAATCTCTGTAACCAATTCCAACAAGAATTCTCAGAGCCCATTTTTGTAATATTAGAATACATTGGGCATCACTAGTGTGTTCCACTGTGTTTGCGATTCTTCCTGAAATTATGAATTGAAACATTTGGACTCGGCTACACTTGCAAAAATCGAACACAAACGTAAATCAAAAGTTTCAGTTTGTAAAAAAAAACTTTTTTCACATTGACAATTTGATTCATTTATGAAAAATCTCAAGGTCGCATGATTTTGTCATTGTTAGGGTCCCTTGATGGAAATTGACGTTAAAGTCATATAACAGGGTACGGACAGATCCTCGTCTCCTCTTACTCTAAAGTGTTTGTGAAACAGTTATATAGTTCTATCCTTATTCAATTCTGGGGATAAACACTAGATTTTTGACATTTGTTGTTTTCTAGGTTATATTGGGGTCACTGGCGTATCATACGTAATATAGATGAAAAATCCTCTAGTTTCAGAGTTTACTACTCCAGCATAATATTTGCGAGGTAGGGAACATGCTCAGTAAATTTCACCAAAAGAGACTGTTCTTAGACTGTATACCAGGGTTGACTGAATTGACTGAATGAATTATGATTTCAAACTGAGCAGTTGTCAATTAATGACCTGAATGAGCTGAGCCTTATGATTGAGAAATATAATAATAATAAAACTAGGCTGATAAATAGTAATACGTAAAATGTGCAGGAAAATAAAGAATACAATATACTTCACCCCCATGTTATACATATGATTTTTCCGTCTCCCTTCAACAAAAAGTCATTTCAAATAATTTATTGATGAAAGTAACAAACAAGTAGGTATACGCAGTAAATATAACTTATAGGCACATTATTTTCAATCTTGCATTCTACATATTTTCTATTTGTGGTAGAGAATTAATTATATAAACTAATATCTTTCGCCATATTGGATCCGTCATCTTGGATCTTTCAATTTTGACGAAACAATCATTATCTCCAACCCCGAAAACCCCTAGATATCAATTTTGAATAGAATCGAATCTTCATTACAAAACTTGTTCGCCATATGATCTTCCTCAACAAGTAAACACCCTGTATATACCTATTATTGAAATTTTGAATGATTTTCTGTAGCGCCCATGGATGTGACGTGACAGCAATGTCAGGGATGCCAGTATACAAAACTAAAGTCTCTAGATCTTTAAAAAAGAATGCAGCTATGACCTGTCCGTACCCTGTTATATGACTTTAACGTCAATTTCCATCAAGGGACCCTAGTCATTGTGACAGCGGAAAGAGTTTGCCCTAACTTTTTCAGCGACAATAACAGAACCTAACTTTTGAAACATGACAACCAGCCATGAACAAATAATGTTTGATGAATTAAATTGTCTTACCGAATTATACTCTAGTTGTTTTCTTCAGTCGAAGTGAACTTGACATTTAAAATTCTTATTGATACATGTCAAGTTTACTTCGACAAAAAGAAAGCTCTCGTAAATGAAAATATTGATGATGATTATAGTCAAAATACTTATCATATGCTTCATTATCTGGAGAAGTATTTTGTTGACAAAGCTAGGTCAGATGATATTGTCAAAAAAAGGTTATTTCATGAAGAAATGAAATAATTGAACAATATTGTGGAATGAATACCATATAAAAAACTAAAATATCACAAGTCAAACGTATCACAATATAATAATCCTGCAAACCGTCATCATTGGGTCTATCAGAGAAAAATATTGTGACTTTCTGCCTAAATTGACAGACCTGCTGACCTCATATCAACTGGCAAGTGGTTGTACAGGGTAATTGTTCATATTCTACTCGATAGCTGACTCAATTAATTATTGGTCGTACAGAAACGTTCGAACAAGCAAAAATTATGTTTTTTTATATGCATTCAGAAATCAGAGCTCGGAAATGCAAAAAAAAACATCAAAGAAAACCTCAATAAAATATATTTTTGATCTCAGAAGAAAGAGCTCTACCGTTCAGAGAAATAAAATACAAGGTTTTCCAATGAAAAAATACTAGTTTATGTGAGAATTTGACAAATCAAACAAACAAAAAAGGCACTGACAGTTATTACAGGTGCAGGACCTAGAGACCTAGAGATGTAAACCTATATTTGCTCATCTGGGAATGATGACCTCATCATCAGTCGTCATATATCAGAGTGGTCTTGAGATTCATAAACACTCAAGAACTTACACTGCTTATGATGACATACACCTGTACAGAGTGATTCACCATGAATGTCCCCTCCTCTAGCTCAGTTATTTTTGAACCGAGTGCAACATTCCAAATATCATCTGAAATGCTTTCCAATAGAATTTTTTTCCGCTACATCAGAAAATACAAGATGCTCGGAACAAACGTCTACAAGGACCTATTTGATTTTTTTAAATGATACATTCAATTTTTCTTTGTTTCATTAAATCCTCCCAGAAAAGCAGATTTCATCATTGTATCATACTTGGGGTCTAGCAAAAATGATTACAGAAATATAGGGTGTTAAAAATCGAGATTTTTCAACTTCAGAATATGTTTGTGACGAAACTATTCATCATCATTCAAAACGGCTTTCATGTCCGTATCTTAACTTTTGATTCACTATCTACTGACATTCAATAATTGGAACAGATACAGGGTGATCAGAATTCTGAATCTTGAACCACACTGTATATGTTTCCATTGATTGTCAGTAGATAGAAAATCTAAAGTTGAGATAGTAACATTTGGGCCGTTCTGACCAATAATGAATAGTTCCGACAGAAAAAAACCTATAGTAGAAAAATCTCGATTTGGAACACCGTATTTCTCGTTAATCATTACTGTTAGACCCCAAGTGTCATGTATTAATGAAATCAGCCCTTCAGGGAGAATCTGGAGATACAATGAAATACAGGGTGTTCTATATGGAGAAATCAACCCTATATTTTCTGATGCAACGAGATAAAAAATTCTGAAAAATCATTGTAGATGATTTCCAAAATTTTCGAATCGGTTTGAGAATAAGTGAGCTAAAGGGGGAGACATTCATGTTGAATCAGCCTGTACAATACAAGAAATAATAATCTCCTATCAAATCCTCGATACCGCCTAGAAATATCTGCACGGAACTCTCGTAATCTTTAACTTTTCAATAAGATGCCAGACAATATCAAACACATGAATTACGAGCTATTCAAGACGATCATTGAACAAATTCTGGTTAGCAACAAATTCTACTCCGATGATGAGACCTGGTGGGTCGAAATTGGTGGGAATATCCCACTCAAGTATGTCCTACCTCATAGCTTTGCCACTAGATGGCTACAACATGACTATAACTTCATGTAATACCCTGCGTCTTCGAAATGTGTGATATACCCGAAGCGTACAGTTGTCCCAGTTGTCAGCAGACCGAGAGCGGCTGATGAGACCCCGAGAGCGGCTGATGAGACCTGGTGGGTCGAAACAGTACTGTCTCGCTCCTGCTGACAATTTGGCAACTCTGTTCATCCTGGATCTCTTAGTTATGAGATCTAGCAGTTTCTACTCCGTTGGGAAATATCCCAATGCAGCTTGTTGAAAAATATCACATGATCATCACACAGCTCACTCAGTGATTTTTGACCTGCTATAACTGTGCCTTGTATGTACATTGAATAGTCAATAAACTGCAATTCTATTCTACTCTATTATATTCTATTCTATTCTATCGAATAAAATTGAATGAACAATCACCCTATACATTTTCCCATTATTATACTATATAAAATCTTCAATAAACTCTCTTGTGGTTAGAGGAAGTTTCGAACTGAAATTGCTGCTGCGCGTGCTATGATTGATGTGGGTTGTAGTAAAATTCAACTTGTGTTCATTTTTATCAGGCGAACAGATTCTTAAATGGATAGTGCAATCACTGTCGATATTTTATTATAGGAAAATAAAATTTCGTGAAAATCTCGAGGTTTGCCATTATATAAATACTTATTCGCTGTCTTCACATTGCCAACCATTTAATATTGTTAATGTTTAATGTTGTTAATTGTTAATCAGTTATAATCATCGATTTGACTATTTGAAAAAAAAATCCTGGATTGGAATTCAGTGTGTTCAGTGATGTGAAGAATTGGGAGATTGGGATGTCATTGTAATTTTATATACCATTCAATCCTCTTTTTGTGAAGTTCTTGAAGAATATATCGTGGATCAGACTAATATTGACGTCATTGTTAGTTCGGAGATCCATGTTATCCTTTGTCATCTTGCTGGAGGATGTCTGCTCATGTCTTCTTGTCATTCTTTGAGCTACTCCTATAATGAGTAAGTAATGAGTCAATTTCTTTCAATTTGTTTAACAACGATATTAGCCAATATATTTTTCACTCTGTTCTGACGTTATATGCAGATGACATCAAAATGTTCAAAGAAATTCAGCATCATAATATGGATATCGATTCACTGCAATCTGATTTGAATAACTCCAATGTTTGGTTAAGAGTTAATTATTTGGACCTCAATTTCTGGAAGTGTTTATGTTTTTTCAATGGCTCATGATTATATTGAGAACGCTTATAGAATAAACAATTCTATATTGAAGAGAGTCAATGAGATGAAGGACTTAGGCATAATATTTGATGTTTAACTGCGACTTTACGAAGTCATATCACTAAAGTAGTGAACACTGCTTCAATAAGGAACTCAGGTTTCCTCACTAGAAACAGTAAACAATTCTCTCCTGGGGGAAATCCATGGAAAATGTAAAAACTTCACGAACGATTAGATTTCCACAAACTAAGTTCATTGTACCAGTATATCACCTGACGAAGCTACTGTGTTAGCGAAACATGTCGTGTGTTTGAGAATTTTGTGGGAATCTTATCGTTTGTGAAGTTTTTACACTTAGTACACTTTATTGCCATTTGGTCAGACTTTCACTAGAGTATGGTTCCATCAGTTGGACACCATTTCATCAAATGCATATCGATAGTTTAGAACGAATTCAGTAAAGGTTCTTTAGAACATATTCATATCGCAAGGACTATCACGTTGCTCATATACCCATACCCACCCAGATATCCTATAATGGAACTTAATCTACTAACTTTAGAAAATCGTAGATTAGTATTGGATATGTGTTCCCTATATGAATTTGTGAATGGCCTCAATAATTCTCCAGATCTACTTAGTTTGATTAGATTCAATACGTCGGTCAGAACAAGAAATCCTCCTTTATTTTCCTTGACCATTCACTCAACGAATTATGGCAACAATCACCCTATTTCAAGACTTCAAAGGAATCATAATCATGTCGTTTTTCGAAATCATGTCGACCTATTCTTTGGCAGTCTCAGTGAAACAAATATTGTGGAAATGATTAGGAATACCTAGTTAATGTAATGAGTATAAGTTGAGTGCTATTTTTCTATGAGTGGAATTCTCATTGCTCCTATTAATATTCATCTCTTGTTATTATTTATTTTATAAAAAAGGTGAAACAATTGAAATGAATAAAAATATGCATAAATAAATGAATATATGGATGAATAAATGAATAAATCATTAGATAAATAAATCGATGAACTTAATTGTTGAAAACTCCACCATTGAAAAACGGAGGTGCTTTGCACCGTCTTCAGAAGAAAGAACAGCGGCAATGGCGAATAGGGGCTAACGACTGAGGAGTCGAATAGTCGAATGAGCGCAGGCGTACTGCTGTATATACGTCACTGCAAGTCTTTTAGACAAGCAGAGATTTTCTTGAACCATTATAAATTTGAATTGATGTCACTTGAAGTCACAGTTTTCTTTAATAAAAGAATATACTGTTTAAGTAGAGCAAATTCATAGCAATAAATTTCAAGGAACAAAGTGAGCGAGTCGATTGATTTGAAACAAGTGTATATTTCTTTACCCAAATGAAAATTTCTTGTTCGAAGCAATTCAATATCAACAAAATGTATTTGTTTGATTGGAGGAATCCTTTTTTCCTGTGTAGATTGCACTTATTTCGACCTGTTGAACTTGAATATGTTGACATCCATAGGGTTTTCCATTTGAAAGAACAAATATGCTGGCATTTCCAGAAAAACAAGGTATCTGCCATTTCTCATTGTTATGTGATCGAATCCGAACTGGTAGCTTATTGTATAACAGTACCTGATTCCACAAAAATCCGTTTACGAATGCAGATATTACTGATGTTGCTTGATACCTCGTTTCACCTGGTATGAAATATATTATTTCCTACAAAATGATGAAAAGTTGTCTTGCTTATGGATGTGATAATGAGTGAGAACCGAATGAACAATTTCAATATAACCAGTAACCAGTGAATTTACTTCAATGTGCATTTCTCTGACCTTGAGTGTCTCTTAAATTGTCCGGCACGAGATTGAATGGAACCATATTTATTCTGAATTTCTTGGGCTCTTGATTCACATGATGCGGGTGACGAGTAGATCCATCATCATCATCATCATCAGGGACCGAAGTCTGATAATTCTGATTGTAGTTTGGTTGATGCTGATTGTGGTCATGTTCATGATTGTGATTGTGAGATCGTTTCACTCCTGGCAGCGGGAACACATCACTAGATTGTCTGTTTGGTGTAGGTTTTGGACTTGTTATTTGATAATACTGATTATCTTTGTTTTGTGTTGTGGCACTGAGAATCTGCAAGAAATGGAAACAGTGTCAAGAAAATCAACTAATATTCTCAAAATTACAATCCAAAGTATTCTAGGAAATTGTTGGATTATTTTCGGATCACTCTCTCACTGCCTTTTGCAATGTATATCATCATCGATTCGCTTTACGCACACTTTGCATAAGGATGAGCGCACTGACATTGTTTGTGTACAATATTATTCACTTACAATCAATAGTAGTCGTAGTATAGCATTTTATGTAATGAGTGGTATAAACGTTATAGAATCGTATGAAAAAGTACAACTTTCAAAACTGAAAATCATGCGGATAAAATATTTTTCGGCACGCTCGTAGAAAAATAATTAATTGATAGGATATCATTATAGAACTTCCATAAGACAGTATTTTATCGCGCGCGTGGTTTGGACTACGATGAGAGAATCAAGGCGTGCTTCAAAAGAACAAGTATTTCTTATAAAACGTGTTCAATATATTATTTTCACTATACCGTATGCATTTGTATTCTTCTATTCAAAAAAGTTCATCAATAAATACATCGAAAACAAGAAAGGTTTGAAGTAAGTATAGTTGGTTACAATGAAAAAACATTCAAATGTTCTTTACAATATTTCACAAATGATAGAAAAATCATTTGAATTGGCATCATTATTTAGCGATATGATTTGAAATTTTGGTCTATCAGAATTCTGAATATTCTCTTTCGAGAATGACTGAAGATGCCAACTTGACTTGCACTCCTCCTCAACTGAGACAAAATTGGCTCAATAATGATCTCAAACCAAAATTGAAATACGCGGTCGCCTTATAGCGCCATAAGCGCTTGTCGTTTCGATCCTCACTAGGGTGACGACACCACGGAGCCTGCAGGCCTTGTAGTATCGGGGGTAACGCTAAGGCTCCGTTACCTCCTCTGAGGAGCCGCTACTGGATGGCGGTTCAAACCATTATTCTTGACTAACTTTATTTCAGTGGAGTTGCTGGAAACATGTTTTAATAAAGGGAAATTCATATTCATAACATTGTTATGTTGAATAAAACATTCACAATTGACTCACTCAAGTCACACAAAATAATGAAAATTGAGTCGATAGTAACTTAATTTCTCAGATTTTCATGAATTTTTATCACCAAAGTCGGTTGAAATAAATTTCCATACAAGAAACTCGAAGAACTATTTTTTATTATCACTTATGATTACACGAGATCTTTTTTTTTGTCGAAGTAGACTTGACATGTATCAATAAGAATATGTTGCATGGCAATTTGACAAAAAAACTGCATCTGAAAAAGTTACGAGTTCGATTAAAATAAAGCTAGAGTGTAATTCGGTAACACAATTTAATCCATCAAGCATTACTTATTTATCGCTGGTTGTCATGCTTTCGGAAGTTAGGTTCCGTTATTGTCGCTGGAAAAGTAAGGGCAAACTTTTTTCGCTGTCATAATGACAAAATCACGTGGTTTGTGGGATTTTCCATACATGCATTGAATTGTCGATGGAATCTGATCACGCTATATTATTCGGTTGAATAAAATTCAATTGAACTAATGAAATAGAATGAACAAATAAGTCCATATTGGCTCTATTTCTTTGTTTTCCAAAAATGCATTCAGCTGAAGTTGGTAGATATACAGGGTGTTATTCAAGTTTCGAAATAATGATTCTAGGCGCGCCGAGTTATATATACAGGGTGAATCAAGAGGAACTAAACATACTCCTTCCACGAATAGAGACCCTTGAGGAGAATACCTTATTTTCATCAGGGAGTGTCTTCTTCTCTGCTCTTGACCAATACATAGGGTAAATTATGTGATTTGGCAACAACATTTTCTGGTCATAACTTTTCAAAAACTCCTTCGATTCGTCTGATTTTTCCATGGAATTTTCCTTCACTGAACCCTAATCGATTGATCTATTCAGAATCAGGAAAATCCAGGACTGTTTCTGAAAAATTTCGATAATCGAGTATTCATCAAGAAGTTCATCATATATATAGTTTTTGTAAACTGTGACAGGAAATTCCCAATGTATCCTCTACAAAAAATTGACTTACTGAATCCAGGCCTGAAAATAAATCAAGCTGAAGCATTGAGAATGTTAGTCCCACTTATTTTCGTGGAATTCATGGGTTGCAAAGTATTAATTTTCAAATAATTGAATTTTTTTCCAAATTTTCGTTTTTCCATTTAATGTATAGCTTTTTTTTTCAAACTGCAGTGAGAATGTGGAGAAAATTCGAAATATTTTATTTTTGATGTTTGTTCGTGACTCTCGAAGAAAATAAGCGTGAAAGACACTTTCTGTTGGACATTTGATATACCCCTTAGAGGCTTCAATTCGTGATATGAGTATGTACAGTTTCACATGACTCACCCTGTATATTCATAAAAAATAGATTACCTAGCTACGTCTTAGTTTCTTCTACTTTTCATATCTTTATTATATTAGGCAATAGAAAATGCAACTTCCTTGTCCCATAGTAAATTCCTGTATGTCACTTAGTTCCTGAGGGAATGATGGAGAGCTGAATTTAAACTTGAATGTTGGTGCCCTCAAAACACCCATTGGGATTACTTGAATCTTGAGGCTATTTCACTCACCAAACATTCTGGATTTTATTATCATGATAGCTCATACAGGATTATCATGAGAAACGACAATCAATATATACTTCTATCTTTAACACCCTATATCTTGAAATCGGAATATTTCTGGACCTACATAAAATCTTCTCATTCTAGAATCACTCGAATATTTGCCCCTTGAAGTTTGACCACATACATAAATAACACCCTGTATATTCTTCCACAAGGAACTCAACAACTTGAAGAATCATTTCCTCATAATCTGAAGTTGAATGTCAATGCCATTTTACTTATGGACATCAGAAGAATTCCAATGTTTTTTCATGCTCCATTTCAACAAGGAGAGGAACAACATTTCCGGAAATTTGTTTAGTCGCTATAGTAACGATACAGAATGAAGGTTTCAAATTGTCCAAAAATGTTAGCTGTGAAAATTTCGCTCAAATGAAATTAGCCGTTTTGGAGAATCGTTCAGCAGAATCGCTCCATTTCGTTATTTCTTTCAATCCATCATTCCTCAAATAATTATATTAGGTACCTCAGCCTTCATCATATTCACGTCACCTTGAAAATAACATAAAATGGAATCCGATTCCGGAACGAATTGTGTTTACTCTTGTATTCAAATATACTTACTAGGTATATATACTTATTTTACCTCGCTTTCAGCTATACTTGGTTTGTCTTGTAAACAAGGAAATAGTAGTATAGTTCAAATCTATAGGCATTAAATTTCATTTTCCGCAATAGAATTTCATGAAAGAATTAGAACTAGTTGAATACAGTAGAATTTTGTTGTCAGTTCGAATTCAATCTCTCTTTAATTCAAAGTGAAGTACATTATTCAGGGATCTCTTAGAGATAAAAAATACTGGCACTTTTTTCAAACGTTAAAGCAATAACGAATACAAAATGCCAGATCGTTTAAAATGCTCAGCATGCTCAAAAAATCATGGAGATTAAGTCAGATTGTCAATGATCTGATTTTTATGATCCAGATCTCTTGCTCAACTCAAACAAACAGAAAGCTCGATTTACGCTCAACACAAACGAACACAAAGCAGTGGCACAAATTATTTATGAACATATAGCATAATCTGAGTGACTTCCAAATTCATATCGATTTGGTCTTGATTGGAGGTTTTGATCGTTGATGTTGATCGAGAGAAAAGAATTGATCACTCTGATTCGATTTTTCTTCCAGTCACCATTCACTTGATTATTTTCTTCCCAGTTCCTCTATACTTCTGGAAGTGTATGATAGGATTATACACCGAGGTTGTGAATAATAACATTTTCACCAGGAGACCTGGATTATACAGGGTGTCCGGAGATAAAACCGACGAAACTCGTAGGGTTATAGGAACTGTCGATATGATTGCAAAATTCCATAAACGAATGTCCAAAACCGCTTCGTCACTGAGATACAGAGTGATTTGTGGATTTTGACAAAGAATTCAATCCACCATATCAATAACAGGGATTAACCGATTAGATACAAAGGACCCCGCACATTTAGTACGTAAAATGGCTTTCGGCTAAATTTTCTGAAAATTTAATATGTTTGAGACATTATCGTCCTTATCACACAGTCCAATCTACAGATCGATCCTATGACCAGTTTTCGAGCTACAGGGTGTCAAACATTAGATATTGGCTGTTTAGAATATTTTGCATCAATTTGAATTATGTGCTCTAAGTCGTGATTATTCTTCAGTAGGAATGAACTCTTCACGTCTTATATCTACCTCATGAATCCCTCTATTCGGTTAGAGGATAATATCTCATACAGAGTATTGCATTCCATCATGACAAGGTAATATTCTTGGGAAAAGACAAATATTGAAAACATCAGAATTTTGATTTTTACTCAATCACTGAAAACTTGAAAACAAACGGCTAGAATCGGCCAATTATGTGACACAGTATGGGTCTTGATCATAAACATGAGGATTCATATGATTACCTCTGATACCATGTTCGGTTGGCCATATATATATAGGGTGATGACAATTTGAAAGCTTATAGAATTGATGTAACTCAGGTACAAAATGAGATACATTTCTATAATATATGAAGTGAAAAATGAAATGTCTCATGAAATAACCCACCCCCACCCCCACCAAGCCCCTGATGAGTCACAACCACCCCAACGCATATCATTTCAATAGTAGCCCCTACTTATTGTGATACCTCATTGAATAGCTTGGTGAAAATACATTTCAGTGGTATTATTCATATCTCGAACTGGGTGAACTAATAAAAAATATTCATCACCTATATCATTTTGCTGGGGTATTAATTCCGTAACTTTTTGTAGTATGGGAAAAAATCGTTATTATCGAGCATTATATAAATAACCATAAAAGTGAAATTGCTTATGTGAACAATTGGCTAGTGAAGCGAGAGAAAACTAAAATCTACAGAATGTTCTAGTAACCTAACCTAACCTAACCTAACCTAACCTGAGCTGGTCAGACGGTATAAGGACACAGCTCCATTCAATCCAGCAGAACATCTCCAAGATAAAAGTTGTAAAACTGTGACATGTCCGCTATGTTTGAATTCT